AAGGTTTAGTTTATACTATTTTAAGGTTTAGTTTATACTATTTTCATATTGATAATGATAATGAATTATTAAGAGCACAGATAATTCCTCCAAATACAGCTTGGATGACTAAGACATGAATCTAAACCTGGTGCACATTAGATGCTTTCTTCTAATGCTATGTATATTATGTACAGTGTGTTACCATGCATAATCATGAAAGAGACCTTTGATATATATTCCTAATTAAACAATTTCTGACTTCAATTGTGAATACTTTGAAGAATCTACAAAACATTTAGCTATTTTTCGACAATAATGTATTTGTAACTTTGTATCAAATGAATTTTAATGAATAGATGAGAAGGTGATTGTGTTGGTTTAGTGTGCTTGTCATGACTAATATCTTAGTTTGATCTGTTTAAGCACATAATATGTGGAAACCTAAAGTTACTGCCCAAGAATTATCAGAGCTCAGATAAGTATCTTTGAGTAATAATAGTTTAGGTAATGCAACTCACTGATAGATAACTTCAGAAATTTATTGACTGTAGGTAGAAATATCTGATGAGGTAAAGAGCAATGGTAAAATATCTCTAAAATGAGTAAATATTGATGCTAATATTACTCAGAAATCTATAAAAACCAGACTTCTAGATTATGCATACAGTGTTAGATATGACATATGTATCAGGCAGTGCTAGAGGAGGAGGATATCAGTGTACAAGTAAGTCAATGCATGTGTGCTTGAGAAAAAATCTGAGTGAATGTGTGCATATATGAAAGTATGCATTCATTTGCATACATGCATGTTTATGCATATGTCTGTGTTAGTGTTTTCATTAACCTTTTTTGGTGACATTACTAAATGACATATGTATGTTGTAATGTATGTCTGTATACTGAAATATATACTTCTATGCACATTTCCAAATGTCTAATGAGTGTTGGGATAAAAATGTGGATCCGTGATGGTTATATACATTTGTCCATCTTTCAAAGTCTATAAAGTCACTGAAATTCTTATGCAGTTAAAGGTAACTGTATGACTTTGCATATTTATTTGAGAACTATATGAACTTTTTTATTTGACCATATGTAAGTGAGAATGAAAAAGGTAGCTTGTAGCTTCTTCTCAAACTTGGGATAATCTCAAATTCAGATGAACATAATACTCCTATTGGTCTTCTGTATTTGAAACTTACAGTGTAATATGGCTATATTCTGGATTTGATTATTTTTAATGGTATTTCTTTACTATGTACTGCAAAAATTAATTACTCCTTCTACTTTCAAAATATGAAGTGTAGAACAGATAGAGATGAGTAGATAAAGGTACTAGACTGATTTAAAAAATGGAGATTGCAACAATCACAGTTGGAATTTAAAAAAGATTTTTTTCAATTAATCTCGTAATGCACAAGTGACCTCACATGGAATAAATGCCATCAGTTTTACGTGAGTGGGTTATCCTTTGTTGCAATATTAATGAAGTTGGAACCATGACCTTTATATGTTAATCAAAAATATGTTATTGTAAATTTTTCTTGAATTATAAAAAGGGCAGATTGGAGATACAACACTGTTTCTCATTACTGTATCATGATGCTTGAAGTCAGATGTGGGCAAAGTTATTTATCAGTCTGATATTTCAAACCAGTAAAATACTTTAGGTCTGAATGCTGTAGTGAAGTAACAATAAGTTTATGATGATTTTTGGTTCAGTAAAATCACTTGCATTGTCCAGTTTGTGTTCTGTAGCACAGAGAATGCTAAACCTCTCCTAAGGGACCATCATGTGTTTTGAGGTTGTGTACATATGATAATCTTTTCTTTTTATTTGTGGAATATTTTGAGAATGGTAAACGAGTCCCAATCCTGGTATGATACAACTTACTGTATATTCCAGTAATTGTGTACAAGTGCAGAGCAGGGTGCTTTTGCATAGCAGTGGTGGATGGAGTCTAAGATTCCTTTTTCCTATTCAAGTCTATAATAGGTTTATACATACAATTTTAAGAATGTAATTGTTGTTCATAAGAATGGGAAATAGTTTTCATATCCACCACACAACTTTTTTGAGTGATGTCCTGTGCTGAAGCAACTAGAGTGGAAAGACTTTCGTAAAAGTAAGTGTCCATATTCTCTGCTTGGAAACAGGATAGCTCTAAATTGTACAGTCTAATTATGATCATAATGTAACCATTATTGTTTAATATAGTCTGTTACTGAAATTTCTAGATGTCTTATGCATATTGTTGATCAAAGAGACTATGACATTTTAAATTTTGTTTTTCTACCCAAAATAAAAATCAATTACTAAATATGATAATTTCAGTCTGAAGATCACACTCACTTATTCACTCACTCACTCACTCACTCACTCATGCACTCTCTCATGCGCTCTCTCATGCACTCTCTCACTCTCTCTCTCTCTCTCTCTCTCTCTCTCTCTCTCTCTCTCTCTCTCTCTCTCTCTCTCTCTCTCTCTCTCTCTCATTCTCTCTCATTCTCTCTCATT